ATCGATCGTAACACAGACCAAGGTTCTCAAATGAGATCCGCAATTTTTTGCAAGAATTTACGCGCATTTTGGGTACGAACAGAATCACAACAACAGCCTATCATCCAATGTCCAACGGCATTGTTGAACAATTTCATTGACATTTAAAATCTTCTCTCAAGGCTCACGAGACCAATAACTGGACTGAAACACTACCAGTTGTTATGCTTGGTATTCGGAGAGATCTACAGTCATCTTGTGCTGAACTGGTGTACGGCACAACTCTCAAGCTGCCTAGTGATATGATAACATCATCTAAGATATCTCCGTATGACACACAATTTATCACGAATCTTCGGCATAGAATGTAACAATTGAATCCAATAGCAACATCTGCACATTGCCAAGAAAAGTGTTACGCAAGTGCTACCTGAAAGTCGTGTACGCATGTATACTTATGTGTTGATCGAGTAAAGCCACCTCTGTGCCAACCATATACAGGTCCGCATAAAGTCCTTTCTAGAATGGACAAAACTTTCACAATTCATATTAACGGTCTGAAATTCTACTGTGTCTACAGACCGTGTGAAATCAGCTTATTTGCTTTTGGACTCTAATTCCTGAACTGAAAACAAATAAAGACTTAAAGACAGTTCAGCAGAATAAATCTGCAAACGAACTCTCTAAGAAAAAAAAATGTTACCAGATCGGGAAGACATGTTCACTTCCCTAAGAAACTTGCTTCTTACATAACATTTTAAAACATTTTTTTAAAATTCATATCTTAAAATATTTCTTGTTATTTCATGTTTATTATATGTGTCAATACCTTGTTATATATTGAATTGCATTTTGATCTTTTCTAATTTTATATTCTAATTTTGTAATCATGTAAAAAATACCCGACAGTACGGATCCTCCGAGATAATTTCATAACCTATGTCGTTCCTTTGAATAGCCATTAAAGGAACTGGGGGGAAACTCTGTGGTGATGGCTATAAGGAGCGCGCCTTGCGCCCTCCGATAAGTGTGGCAACCCTAGAGGAGAAATTTCTTACGAGTAGCGAGCAGAGCAAAACAGGCAGGCTGTCGGGCAGTGTGCGCGAAGTTCCGAAATAAAGCATAATTTTTATTGTGCACTATGTCTTGTTAATATTTATATTAATGCAGTAAGAACATAATCTGTGATATGGAATTCGAGGATTGGTGGTAAAAACATATAGGAAAACACCATAGCACCAAGCGCTAAGCAATTATCCAGAGGGACTGCATTTTATTTTAAAGTTTTAATAATTAGCTGTGCTATATTAAAGCCTGTCAAATGTCCTTCTAAAGTGGGGACAGAAAGTAAACTGTACTCAATTTCTGAAGACTCTGGATTAAAAAAAGAAACAATTGGATACAGTTTTGAATTGGTATTATTGCTTCCATCCGTAGAGAGGCAGAACAGAGCTGTTTTAATGCAATCAATAACTGAAGATTTATTTTTCAAACCCATTTCTTTAACAATTGCACCTGTTTTGGTTCCTTGCACTTGAGTATTTCTTAGCGATTTCACTATTGAGAAACATTTTTCTAAATAAAGCTGCAGCGTGATCCGATGCATTCAGTGGCAGGTTGTGCTCCAGTAAAAAGGCAGAGAACAGACATTCTGCATTAATCACTTTTTGGTCTTTTGTTTCCGAAGAAAAATTTTATTTTTCGTTTTTTCAAAACAACTCATGTTGTCCTTGTGTTTTTGTGTATGCACATGTTTGAACGCACATGTCAACTGTGTACGATTTTTGAAACGTGCACGAGTATTTCACCTTTCTCGCAGACATATCAAAAGACAATAATTTCTAAAACTATTTCCTAAAGGCACGTGTACTCACACAACTCAGGACAAGATGAACGAAATAGTGAAAGAACATCCAAAGAACGGCCAACGGCCTTGAGCTTGCTTTGTGCTCATTGGCTAATATATGCCAGATGACACGCAGTGGAGCTCGATGCCCATTGGACAACTGGAGAATGAAGTTTCTGGATACGTATGCTGTCAATCACAAAGCAGAAATTCTCATCTGATTCGCAAGGTTTCATTTTAGATATAATCTAGAGAAAATTCAGTTGCTTTCAGACGTCCAAAATCACTTTTTTTTGTTCATATAACGAAGTATTAAGCCAAGTTCCATAAAAATCGTGAGAAATATTAAGAATAAGAAAAAGTCGGGAGAAATATATTGTAAATCGGGTTGGCGGGAGAGCGGTCGAAAATCGGGAGTCTCCCGCCTAAATCGGGAGAGTTGGCAACTCTGATATGGTAAGGGCTGGTTACAGAGCCGGTGTAGAATTTAGTGACACAACAAGCAACAAAAATCTAGAAATGGTAACATTTTAGAATTTAGAAAGGCACTAGGCAGCAGAATTTAGGATACACAGAGATTGCATCAAGTGGAAATACACTTAGCGCCAGCCCTGTGTGTGATGCACAGAGACGTAGCTAGGGTTTTCAGCGCCCGAGGACAACTTAATATTTTACGCCCCTTCTGTAAGCCAAGAATGAAAAACATTTCATTCTAAAGTTGTGTTACATCAATTTGGCACTTTATGGATGCTACACCTGGAAATAGATGTCCCCTCTTGCCCCAACCTAGCTATGTCACTGATGATGCATTGAGACATATATAGATGAATCTTTGCCAGTTTTCAATTTTTTTATTAATAGAAAATTCCTTTCTATAAATGACTGTCCATGTGATAAGATATAAGCATTTCTGATATCTTACTATACTTGTGTCTACTGAAAAGTAGAAAAAACAAAGGAAAGATAAACATGTTAAGAAAAAGACTTTTAGTATCAGAAGCAAAACTTTCAAATATCATGTTTTCATTGTTCTTCCAAAAATTCTCCAAAAATTAAATGTTCATCATAAATTTTCTACAAAATACATCCATTGCATATTAATACCATGAAGACATTTTTCTGAAATCTAGATTCGTGGGTTTATAAATCTTGCCTTCAAATCCTTCTAAACTTTCTAAGTTGCAGTGTCTAAAATCCTAAAGAAAAATTTCCCCTACCAATTCTGTAAGAGCAAAAAGCCAGAAATATGTTGAAAAAAAAACAGAAGAAATAAGTGTAAAATTAATTTTGTAGAGAAAACTGACGCATATTGAGACAATTACATGGAAAAAACTCTTACCATAAAAAAAATTTAAACGAAGGCATATTTAATTAATTACATAGTTATTTTTCTTTTGCTAAGAATTGTTTCTTAAATTTAAGCATTTATTACATAATTTATTTTTCAGATTCAAAATACTGTACAAGTCGCCAAAATGGAAAGTAATGTATGCCACTTTACAATATGATAGCGAAAAATAGAAATGTTTCACTTTAATATTATTTCTTGAATACAATTTCAATATATTAGCATTATTTTAATGAAAATGATCAATGTTATGTTTAAAAAAATATGATCGAAAAATTTGCAGATTTTTGAATTAAAAATATTTTACAGAAGCTGATTTTAAAATCCCCGAAATGTTGGTAAGTCACTAAATTTGGAACCTTTTAATACAGAATTCACATTCCCTAAAGCGAAAAGTAGTTTAAGATCTTTTCATTAGAAAAAATAAAGCAATTTCCAAATGCTTATGTTTCACTTCTTGCTCAGAAACTGAGTATCACATTGTTTGTATTAGAAATAGAAACAAATTATAATCCATGAACCTATTCACCCACTCAAAAGATAATTATATTTGTCAATGAATCGTCAAAAATATTTGTCCAAAATGCTAATTCACATTAAAATGGCAGTCATAAAAACAGACAGAAATTTCAGAAGATAAAAATTAAGGACTTCCTCCCAAATTCGATCAAAATTAAGGACTTTTAAGGACCAAAAATCGATTCCAAAAAATCTAAGGTCTTTTAATGACTCTTAAGGACTGTACGAACCCTGTTTTTAACTTACATACAGCAATCTTTTTTTTGTTTAAAAAATATCAGATAATAGCATAAATTTGGCACTGCACACCGGCTATCTATTAAATGATTCTCATCATCATTCTCTTCAGCAATTTTGCAGAGAAATAATTAATTTCCAGCAGAACTTTTCTCACTGTTGATAAATTCCTCAAGGCATATTTTAAAATTAAATTCAAAGCAAAAAATACCATGATTTGTCTTTAAAACCTTTGGAACTTGGAACAGAACAAAATAACTGCATATAAAAAAGGCAAAGCTGCTTGCCTGAAGAATTGTTAGGAGACTGACTCCCTGAAGAAAGTTTGTATTAGCCGCCAGAGTTTGGCACATAGTAAAAATTTAGTGACTATTACTAAAGTGATTATGATACGAGTTGATATACAAGTTACTTACTGGCTTGGTAAAAAAGTCTGAAAAGGTTTTTTTTTATTATTTTGGTGCATATTTAACAAAAAACAGCAGAAATTAATTTTTTGCCCTGGTCTAGTGCAGAGTATGCTCACAAGCTGTCAATATTCTATTTCCAGTGGATATCTGATACTAAATCAAAAAATATTTTGCTTTTTGTGCAACCTGGCACTAAATTTTTGTATTAGTTCAGCATTCGACAGTAATTGGAGCAACAAGAACAACAATCACAATATTGAAACATTTATTTCATATGGCAGAATTCACTTACCTATTAACTGATTATTGTTGAAAAAACTTTAAAAAATACCTCTAAAATTGGAAATTATAAAATAATAAACCAATTAATCTTTATCTTACAAATACCAATTATAAAATCTCCAAATGACAGATCACTGACATCAAAGGACAAACCAAATGTCAGTTAAAGACATCATTCAGTTTCTTGCGAAATCTAAATCTTGCTAAGTAGAAACTGCATCATGAAGTAAAAATTTATTGGCATTTTACTTATCAGCTAATTTTTACTCTAAAAGTAATCAGCACCACTAAAATCGATTAGAAACAAAAACCTATTCACATATCATTTATATTATTTGCAAATTTTCTGATATGAAAATTTAAATATATTAATACATACCGTCGGAATTCTGCATCTGCAAGCAGTTCATCTACAAGAGTTTGTTTTCTCTGCTTCTTAGGAACACGAGAACTATAGAAGTCAACAGGTGATTCAACAAAAGTACCAATCTGTAGTGAAATATAATAATGTAAATGGAACAGCATTTCACTCAGCACTTAAATGTATCAGAAAAACCATATATAAAAATTACTCAATGAATCAATGCTTTTAGTTTTAAATACTGTTTGCATTATTTCATAAATTTTCTACTGCAAAAATAATGGATAGTGTAAGTAAAAGAAAATATTTACACATAGTAATAACCCAACAAAACTAAAATTTGAAGTATAATTAATTTTACACTTACATATCATTAATTAAAATATATAAAGAACTTTTAAAATAAATGCATGGAAACTAAGTTTTGCAATAAGCTTACATTTCAAGTACCTTAAGCTACATTAAGAAAAAATATTATAGTATTAAGATGTATGATATGCATGATTTTAAATTTCAGTATGAATATAAGTATACCTTAATAAACTTACTTCAAAATATTTTGGATTTGTTTTATTAGCACTACGTTTATAGAAATGTTTTGGATCTAGAGCTTGCCGCATTTGCAATAATAATAAATCATTTTTCTTTTCTTCCGTCATCTCGGGAGCTTTCATATTATACCAGTGGAAACCTTTGGTCTTTTCTTTTTCTTTCTAAATATAAAAAAGATGTAAGAGTAAATTTCTAATACATAACTTTTAATAACTTAGATATATAATAATAATAACTTTTTTTGTGCACACACTTGGTTCTATAAAATAATAACTTAATTTTATAGAACCAAGTGTGTGCACAAAAAATTAGCTTGTTCACTGTTGAAGCAATAGAATATCCATTCCATAACACATTTTAAATTTATTTTCAGTCCCAAAATGCCCTTTGAATTTATCTTGAAATATAAATCCTGTATATTGCCAAATATAAGCTAATTGCATAAGCTGCCACTACGTTTTTTTCTTCAACAATTTAAAGAAAATTCAAAACTTGTCTATATATATATATATATATATATATATATATATATATGTCAAAAGAAAAAAAAAACTAATCTAATCTCTGTAAAGTAAAATCCCAGATGTCGACAATAACCGTGGTGACTATATTTGAAAGTTAGCACATTTTTTTTCTATTCGTTTGTTGTCTTGTATATGATCTGTAGAATTTGTGCTAGTACAGTCAAAAGTCGTTAATTCGGACACCCATAATCCGGACCTGAAAGCTACAAACTTTCTGCGCATGTGTCGCATTGATGCATGCGCGTAAGACCTTTACTGGTGCGAATATGCGTGTGCGCATGCGCATAATAAGTTTACGCATGCGCGTTTAATGTATAACGGACGGCATAAGCTAAGCTAAAATTATCTAATTCAGTTTATGCTGCAGACTGCGTTGTTTCTTAATCTTCGAATTGGATCCGGCTTATTATTTTTTGCAGACTGTTAGAGCAATTTTATAAAAGCAAGCTTGAACTTTCGATTATGTCAAATAGAATTTCCGATATATATATATTAAAGAGAAAGTATTATCACATAAAACGAAGCAACTTAAACAACTTACGTTGAAAGAAATGTTTAATAAAGTAAACAAATAAATATTAAGTTTTTTTTTTTTTTTTTTTTTTTTTGTAAATTTTGATACCCTTTAGATCATAATTGTTCTTTATTTCATAAATTACGGTTTCATATTTTTAATTTTATAATTTCTGCGTGCCATCTTACCAGATTTAAACTGATGATCTATAATACGGAAAAATTGATAATCCGGAATCGCCAAAGTCCCAACGAGTCCGGATTAACGACTTTTGACTGTATTGCTTTCTGGACCATTTTATTTTCCCTAAAAGATAGTGGGAAGAAAAATTCTTGTACAGCAAAATTTCAAACCATAGGTGATCATGTTTGCTGAAAATTCTAACTGTATGGCTACTTGGCATTTCCCCATAAATGAAAAACGAATTTGAAAGTGGAGACAAAACAATTTTGAAAACAAAATTTTAACACCATTAAAAAGAGTTCATCTAATAGGATATTTCTATTAACTGAATGAGAGAAATTCAATTTATCAAATGTATTAATTTTTAATGCATTTGAAAGGGGTATGTAATTTGTCAATGAAAAATTTGAATTCACAAAATATCATTAGAGGGTATGATAAAACATGCATACAAAACAAAAACGTTATAGTTACCAAATTTAAAATTAATCTTTTATTAGGACAAATGATTAGCAAATATCTTTTATCATCAAAATTCAATGAAACAAAATGTCAGAGATATTTACTTTTAGACTGAATTTTACTACATGTTAAACCAAATAATAATAGAGTAAGAGTGGAATTTGCTTCAGATAAGAATGGAGTAAATGCATAATTTGTTTCACGAAAGCAGATACAATTATTAACAAGGTTTCAAAATTTTCCTTTATTATTAATTTTATTAGATACACCAACATCTTAATAACTATTATATTATTATGACTTACTTTGTAAACTAATTCTTTACAATACTAAACAAACAAAAATTTATATTTAAATTACCATATTTAGTATTATATTGTAATGCACATTTTCCTGCCTTTCTTTTTCAAGTATCAGTAATAACTTAAATGAGATAGTTTGATAACTAGAAAAGATCTTTGATAAATTAAAATGAATCAGAATTAACACAATTTAGACTGTTCACAATGAATTTTAAATCTTTTTACAATATTCACAAATCAAAAACTTATTTCAATAATTTAATTTTTTAATGTATAACCAATATAGTGTTCAAATGCCTTAAAAAATATCTACACTGCATGCACAATAATTATAAATTCAAAAAATGCATAAAAGAGTTAACTTTCACAAATTTAACATATTGATGTTTTATAAAAATAGTTTACCAAGCCCTGCTTAGTTCTTTGCCTGCGGCTCAAATAAGTTGGAACTTTCTCTAATGACTCAAAATCTGGTTGGCAAACTACACTTTTCTTAAGATTCTAAATCAAAAAGTAAATAAATAAATAAACACAGGTGTATGAATGATTATAAAAAAATTAAATCTTACACAATACCTTCAAATTACAACATTCAGTTTCATTAAAAATCCCATCTAACAGATATTAAAAAAGATTATCAAATTCAAATTTATGATTTCTCAAACTCAAACAAAAACAAAAAAAATTACAAAGTGGAATGTTTTGCTGCAAAACACAAAGCATATGAAATAAAAAGTAACGACACAAGCAGTAAAGCATAAAAAAAGTATGGTTCTTATGTATTATCCTGTTGACCATCAAGCATTACTGTGGAATTCTAAAGGGTGCTAAGTTACACTTGTAAAATTAAACTTGTGATCATGCTTCACGATTCTATTTTATTCACGAGTTGGGAGTTTTTTTTTTTTTTTTTTTTTTTTTTTTTTTTAGAATATGAGTAAATCAAGAGTCAATATATCCATTCCATGAAACATTTTCATGTAAAGGACTCCAGTAATTCAAAAATGAAAGTTCCAATTGAAAAACAGTATTTAATGAAGAAACTATTTATATTATTCAAACACGAAATTTACATACAATATAAATTTCCCCATCATAGGGCCAAGATTAGTTTTACCAAGAACAAATATTATAATTATTGGTTATCACCATGTTGCCAAAACAGATAATTTTCAAGCGTCACACATACCCTAAACAAACAAAAAAAAGTTTTACAACACTACTTGGGCCAATTAATGGGATTACACATAGTACCAAAAGTTTATTTCCTTCAACCCCTTCTGCTTTCTGCAAGCAACCTGCTAGTTTTTGTTTGGATGACATTTTGTTTTCACAAAGTACATGATGATTAGGTACGAAATTGGGAGAAAGTGCAGAATCACCCACTGCTTGCCACATTTTTAAGAATTGCACATACACGGCATCCATGTTCACGTCGACCTATTTTCACTTAAAAAAACATCCCAGAATTTCACAAAAATGGCACTGTGCACACTCTTGACTTTATCCATGTACACTGCTAAAGTCCTAGCTAGTAACCTTTATCACCTTACCAAAATGTTGCCAAACTACCTGTTACCATATTCCAAAGATTAGCCAAAATTAGAAGTAATAGCAATATACTGATTTTACTAAATTCTGCATGACTCATCACTATTAAAAGTAATTTTTTTTACAGAAATGATTAGCAAAGTAAGTAAAAAAAAACACAAGGACTTCAAAGGATATTATTAAATCAGAAAATGAAACGAGTTTCTCTTCTGCATTCTTTACACATGCTTCACAATGTAAATCAAGCTTTCACTACACAAACAAAAAAATTCTTTTTTAAAAGTCTATACTCCTTTAAGTAGATTTACCAGAAGCAATAAATTCTTCTGAAGGCAACCACTTACAGGTGATTCATATTTGGGATATATTATTGTTGATGTATGTTCAAAAGACCTAGCCCTCCCCTACAGCAAAATTCAGATTAACAGATAGTCATCAGACTTTTGTTTTCAAAACTGTTAGTGTGAATATCATGCCTGTAGACACTCAAAAAATGATTAAAGAAAAAACAAAATGCCAGGTGTCAGGAAATAAACAATAGGTATTATCTACTATCCAGATTTTCTTGTGTCCCTTTAATTTTTTTAAGAGCTATAATTTTAGATAATATTTTATAAACTTACTACATCAAGTATGAAAATGATTTTTTTCGCATAGCCTATTCTACTGCACAACTGATTACTATTAGATCCACTTCAGATACTGAAATGCCCAATTTAAAACAATCATTTACAGACGAGCAATGCAATAAATCATAACTACAGTTTGGATATTTCTTCTGTTCCTTTTTAAACTGTCAATTATTTTTATCCATGTTGTGATGGTCAAATGACAACAAACTATTGAATTGAACTGCACACACTGAATAAACATTTACAAATTTTACATGCACTGAATAAACACATATAAACTGAAAAAACATGTACAGATTCATACACATTTCAGCACATAGAAATTAATAACGTCTAAGGACCATTAGTGGAAAAAATTAAGGGCAATCAGCAAATGAGAACTGAATAAAATAAAACAATCTGTGCAACCAATTTCACTCTTGTAATACCATTTTAAGAACAAAAGAAGTACAGATACTTCACACTTTACAAACTTTCACAGATATAAGCAAACCTGTTCTCAAAGAGTGAAAGTTTTTCAGAGTCGAAAAGAAAAGAAACAGCTGAGGACAATACCATACAGTGCTATGCTCTATTTACGATGAAAGAAAAAGAAAACCTGTTCAGACAAGTTTAAGAACTTTAGAAATCGGCATTGCTGGCTCATTTAAGATGCAAACTCCTTCCACCTCTTATATAGCCTTCTTATCACAAGAATCCCCTTTATTTGTGATGAGTCTTCAGAGGGCAAATCAGATGTTGATGCGTCCCCTACCCATGTAAAGATCTACTAGTCTCATCCCATCCACATAACTACAAGAATACTAAACTCTATAATGAAGTAATTATTTATGATATTTTACTTATAATTTATATTTTTATTTAAAATGTATTAAATGTCTATATGTTAATACTTATAGCTCTCCCCTCATGAACATTGTTAAGACGTATATGCATAGCTAACTTAGTAAACCCTTACAAACAAATTCATGATTTGGACGGTCAGTCATAGCATAATTTGTTTGAAGGTAGGAAGCATCTGCACACGCAAGACATAACATTATGAAACAGAATAATCTTTAACATAACTATAAAAGAAATTTGAAAATTAAATCAACTCTCTAAAGCAGTAACATGCTCTAGTTTTTACTAGAAAAGAATTAGGTGTAAAGAAAAATTATAATCCTCTCTAAGACAACCATGCATGACCAATGGCATCAGCAGTAATGATTATGTTGTCAGGAACACTGGCTATTTTCAGAAGTGATTATCATCATAAGAGTTTATTGTATTTTGAATCTGGAGTACTATACTGCAGGGAATGATAAATTTATAAAAATCTAATTAAGAGGGGAATATCAAAATGATCATGCCAAAAATAAACAATTTTTTAATTTGATGGATCTCGTAAAACTTAATTAAAAAAACTTTTACCTCAAAATGAACTCAAAGCTAACAAAAGAGGTTAATTATTAATTTGCACATTATTTATCATTTTGAAACTGTACTAATACTCTGCCTTGGAATGACAGTTCACATTTAAGCAAATATGACTATATCTCTTTTGTAAATATTCTTTGTTTCTTAAAAATATATTATCAAAAGTTATCGAGGGCATAACGTTCTCATACTGATAGATGATCAGCAAGTGTGTTGTCATAAAACAGTTTTAAAGGTTGCTTGCACATGCTTAAACGTATCAGAACTAGCATTTGATACTGCTTCCCTCTCCATAGTTTAAGAGTTTTTTTTTTTTTTTTTTCAGAAAAAATGGTAAAAATTTATCAAGTTTTTTTTTTTTTTTTGACAGAAAATGAATATATAGATATACTGCAAGTTATTTATTGAACTGTACTAGTTATTATTTGATTTGTACTAATTTGATACCAGTTTCTTGCTACAGCCAAAATCTTGTCATTCATTATCTTCAGATTCCATAACCCAAAAGATCATAACTTTCATTGCTGAAACCTTCTGATAAATTGGTATATTCAAAATCATCAGAGTCACTCATTATCAGAACTTTTTCGAAACAAGTTACAAAAACACTTAATAAAAATTAATTTATGGTTAACTATTTACTTTTATAATTAAAGCAATAAAAATGAATATATTATCTTTTCCACACCATACAATTACTTTACAACAAAGAATTCCTAACAAACTTATTGCTAAGCGTCAAAATGCACTATCTGGTTTACACACAAACAAAAAAAAAAAAAAAAAAAAAGGCTGCACAGTGGTGTTCTCTGAGGTAAATAAGTTTATTATACAGTCAAAAGTCGTTAATTCGGACACCCATAATCCGGAATGATCTATAATGCGGACCTAAAAGCTACAAACTTTCTGCGCATGTGTCACGTTGACGCATGCGGGGAGCGCGGCGGCGCGCAATGAATTGGAAGTTGATCTGTCAGCACTATCCTTATCTTCAGGGCAGATGTTTTTATTTTATTTGGCTTATAATTCCTTACTAAATGTAGTATTTCATCTCGATGTACTCCTTTGATATGATTTAAATCAAATTCCTCGTCATTATAATTCGCTTCCGATAGCAAAGAAAGTGACACAGAGATTATTGAAAACGAAAAAATTTCGATTGACAAATTAGTCGGTATTCTCGACACAGCAATTATAGGACTTGAACAGCGGAACTTTGTAACTGAATAAGAAATTATGTCTGTTTATAGAATAAAAGAGAAAGTATTATCACATAAAACGAAGCAACTTAATCAACTTACATTGAATTAATAAAGTAAACAAATAAATATTAAGCTCTTTTTTTTTTTTGTAAATTTTGATACCCTTTAGATCAGGGGTTGCCAAAGTGGTCTATTTAACAACAGTAGGGGTCTATCTGACCCAAGAGGTCGAATGGGGGTTTATTGGGACTCGAAGGAAAAACAGTTCTTAATACGCAAATCACACATATCTAACTGCGTACGTAAAAATTTAAAATATTTTTATAATTGACTTAATATTATATTCTTTATAGAAAATAAAATAATAAATCAGAAAACAATCTGCCCCATTTTTCCTTATGGGTTTTCGTATGTATACCGTGACGTCACAACTTGACCTTGTGACCAGTTTGTAATTTGCACGACTCATAGTATGTAGCCAGAAGAGCGATTGAGGCTTATCCGTGTCTCTTGCTGGTGAACCCATCAACCAATTAGGAGCCTTTGACACAGACTTGGCGAGCGACGACACTGCCGTTGGCTTTCTATGCATTAAGCGCGAAGGGAATCTTCAGTACTCCGTTTTCTTTCTTCTTATGTGTCAATACAATGTTATAATGTTATAATAAAATGTTATGTTACAATAAAATTTGACAAT